CAGAAATAGGACTCTTCTTTTTCTTTTCCTTCTTTTCTTTTCCCTCTTTCTTTCTCATTTCCTGAATGTTAAAGAAGCAAGTTTTTTGAATATAATATTTTTTTTTCTTTCCCATTACTCTTACCCGGTATCTAGCACATTATCTTCTATTAATGTTCAGTAAATATTTAGCAAGTTGATTTTTTTGAACTACTTTTTCATCCTCTTACAAACACATTAAATAAATTCAAAATTAAGGGGATATATATGTCTTCGATGTGATAGATAATAATCTTTGATCTCATTAAAACACATGGTTTGACATTAACATAGCACAGGTCTGGAAGACCTAGATATGGAGTAAGCCTCAAATGTTGCTTAACACACATGAAGTCTATGGATAACTAGTACTGTGTTTTGCAAAATAATTATTAGAACTGGAACATGTCTTTTAACACAAATAAATTACTGTATTTCTAAACACCTTAAAATAAACTTTAAGCCCTATAAAAATGACTTCATTGAAGTCAGTGTATGCTTTATATTTCTAATTTAAAAAGAAATTTGTTAGTCATGAGGTACAAATTTTGTATATTTTGGATATTAAGCCTTCTCTTTTGGATTTCTTTGACAGATTTACCATTATTAATCAATATTTTATACCCTTAAAATTTTCATGTTAGAGTATGTCTAAATTACTAAGTTTGACTTTTCTTTGTCGTATTTTACATTTTTTGTATGATGTCCACAATTGCCAAAAATATCACAATATTAGGGCAATTTCTTTGCTCTTGGTCTTTGCATGTAAAAGAGAACCCTCTCTTTGATCTGCTTTGTTCTTCTTAATCCTGCTTCATTTCCCATCATATGACCTAATACCACTTAAATTTGTGTCATACATTTGTAAGTTGCCTGGTCTGTTTCTCTGGAAGGGAAGCATTTCCAAGCTTCGTTCGCTGGCACATCAAAAGCCATTTTGAGCTTTAAGGAAAGGGAAACTCCCTAACAGGAAGTAAATTTAGTTTCCATAGGGACATTTAACCTACATGTTTAAATAATAAGATTTCTATTAATTATATGGCATATTTAAAATCAAATAGCAGCGCTAAGTTACAAAGCCAGTTCACCAGATCTATAATATTTATGGATATTATTCTTGTTTTAATAAGGTGGTTCAGCTTCAAAGGAGCCTCATTAGGTTTTCAAGGCTTGATGAGCCTATTTACAAATTCACATTAAGATTTAACAAGTCATTTTAGGAAATTCATTACACAGCTATTGCAATGTCTAATTAAGATGGTTTAAAATAAGATTATATAGGATTATGAAAATTTTTGTTTACATTTATTTTTGTAAACATGTGAGTATTTTTTATAACTCCTCATGTGCAGTGAGTATATATGCTTTCCGACTAACTGGCCAGACAAGCTACATAAATAATTCAAATAAGTGGTATCTGACAAACACAGGAAGTCTTGAAGCATTCCCCAATACATCCCCCTCACTTTTATAAGCACCCTTTCTTCTCTTGTTCAGGTGTTTTAATTTCTTTTTTTTTAAAAGCTCTCTCAATTCTGAATTTGAAAGTCAAAGAAAGATTAGGTGGGAAAATGTCTATCAACACAAAATACAACATTTTGCATGGAATTTAAAAGATTCACAGAGCTCTTAAGTCCCATCCAGAGACTGGCTAGGGGTCATGGATGCATATTAGTGTCTCCTGTTCTTTTCTGTTAGTTTCTCCATAGTACTCTTGCAACTGCCTTCACTTCAACCAGAGGTGTCAGTTACACATTCCAAAATTGTTGGACCTTTTTGTACAATGCCATACTTGGGGGAGGGGGGCTAAGGAAAAAAGTTTAATTGACCTATATTATATTTTAAAAAATCCTCTAGGAAAATATTTCAGGAAAGTTTCTACCCATAAGACTCTCAAGGTTTAGTATAGCATCTATTTAATTCTCTTTAAGAGTGACAATTCAGCTTGTCATGTTTCTATCATTCTGCATGAAAGGGAAAGTTGGCTACTTGCCAAAGATGGAGTATTGTAATAACAACAATTCAGAGAAAAATATGAACAATAGATGGTAGGAAAAAAATGTGTAAGGGATACGGGCCACAACTAAAGACAGACAATAAGTGAATAAGCTGGTGAATAAGCTTTACCTTGCAGATGTCAAGTGACAGTCCTTACCTCCATCACTCCTGTAACAGATGCCTATTGACAACAACCATATGCAAGACCCAGTGGGAGAAAGAAACATGGATGAAGTCAGGCTTGAAAATCAAATTTTCTTTGAGGAGTCTAGAATATCATTCAGCCTGCTAATGCTTAAGGCTGCTAAATTATTGCACATGTTCATTACTATTTAAGGGGAAAGACTAATATTATAGGCACAGACTCTACAGCCATTAAAAAATTTATCTACAACACTTTCTTATTCATCCAAATCAAACCGAATTCTGTGTGAGTTGGTAGCAAAAACACAGGAATCCTGTCTTGAATAAGAAAAAGGGAGAAATGTAGTTTCTAACAGAATTTACCACTGTTCTCTACATGGAATTCAGATGTGCACATAATTTTTTCTGCTCTAATGGAACATCAAGGTAGAACTTCACCACTTTCTTATGTTCATAGGTATGTCTGAACCCATAACTTAAAGACAAAGAAAAATTAAAGTGAAAGCAACTTTCCAAGACAAATATTTGAAAGCTCTTCATAGACTGCATGCCTGTAATCTCAATGACTCAGGAGGCTGAGACAGGAGGGTTGCAAGTTCAAAGCCAGCCTCAGTAACTTAATAAGGCCCTGAGCCACTTCAGGAGACCCTGTCTCAAAATTTTAAAAAATAAATAAATAAAAGAAGAATGGAGATGAGCCTTAGTAGATAAGCACCCCTGGTTTCAATCCCTAATACTACTACTAATAATAATGTTTTTTGAGGAAGGGATTAAATTAGGATTGCAGAAAATGATTCAATTAGAATTCCCCATTATTCAGCATTCCAAAAAGAATAAGAGCCTCCTCACTGAAGCTAGGAAGAACATAGAAGCAGTAAGATAGCCATTATTATGATTAAATAAAAACAAAATGAAAGCTTACATTTCTCTATTTTACTTTTAAGAACTAAATATCTGCCAATGAATAAAGATAAAGGTCTAGTGGGTGTTATAAGTCTTATATTAAAAATAAAATTACCCTCATTGATAGGTGAAATTGATCTGGCATTTCA